CAGTGTGGGGTACTTTTTTTTATTGCAGCCCCAGCAAACCAATACAGTAGGGTTGAAATATGGAGAGGGGTTTAAAAAGAATAAGAATCCTCCAGAAAAAAAGAATACCATGAAAAAAGAGGTCAAAATGAGGACTGACATAGATGAGGAACAGAGTCTTGAAACAGGGGTTTACATTAATGAATGGCACATACAGCTACCGTTATCATTAATAAGACTCTTTCTTTTTTCCAGTATTGTGTCTTAAGAGAGATAAATAAACCTTTCAACCTTCGCACCTCTAACCAAAATTTACTTCCTCAGAGAGGTCTTCCCCCACCATCCTTCCAAAACAGCATCTACCGCCCCAAGCCATTTTCAAGCCCTTTCCCCTGCTTTATTTTCTTCACAGCACTTAAATCTGAGATTACAAAATTTATTTTTAACTTGTTAATTACATGTCTTCCCACACTAGAATGTGAGTTCAATGAGATCAGGGACTTACCTCTCTAATTCACCTCTCTTTCTCTAATCCCCAGAACAGTTTGTAACACTTAGTAGGTATACCATAAATATCTGTATCTAGCGAATGAATTTCCCTGAGAAAAGCAATCAGTCAGGAGAGAATTTTCTTTGAGAGGCATGGAAAAGCCAAGAAAACAATTCTGGTAAATATTGGAGGAGTAGGATACTGTGTGACTTTCCCGTGTTTTAGGTGTGGTGAATCTGAAGCCTTGAGAAACTACAAACTCTGTGTGAGGGGGCAAGTAGGGGGCACAGAGGAGGGCCACCCGGCAGCAGATGAGAGAGGCTTGTCCACACCGCATACAACATGGACACACATGCACACACATACCCAAATACAGACATGCTGGGAAAGGGAAAGGGAAAGCTGTCCCATATGAAAGGGAAAGTTGGATTTAGGGCAAGGATTGAAGGTTTAAATACTTAAACATTCTTTCAGACAGTAAGCCAAAATCTCATGAGGATCAACATACAAATAAAATGCTGAGGAGCGTCTAAAATAATATATATCACATTACTCTGTTATATACATTACAGATCACATGAGGAAACTGAAACTCTCTGCAGCCCTGCCCAAATATAGGGAACCATTTAGGGCTGTTCAAAAAATGACTAGGACTGGCGACCCTGACCCCAGAATGAATAACTGCCTTGGTTCAGCTGTTCTTTCTTGCCATTTTTAACAAGTACATTTTAATGGCCATTATTGTTTTATTCATGTTAGGTTTATCATTATTGCAGTTAACCTCACATTTACTTTGGCTAGTATCCTTTTTTGAAAGTCTTTGACATTTCAGTTGGTTTTGATTTGTCTTTTTGGTCACACTCCATTAATAATAACAAACGTGAGGAGTGCTTTTCGGCTTACAAAGAATTCATAGTATCATTTGTGCCCTTGAACAGCACTGTGGGAGAGTCAGAGATTATAATTTCTGTTTTATAAGCAAGGAAACTGAAGCTCAGTGAAGATAAGGGACTTGCAGGAAGTCATAAACACAGAGAATGGCAGAGCTACAACTCAACTCCTGCCTTTTGGTTTCTTCTACAATGCGCTTCCTGTATGACATGACACCCATCACTAAGCTAGCCTGGCTGGCAAAGATCCAGTGTTCACACACAGTATGTATGTTTATGTTCACATGTACTCAAGCACACACACACCACATAACGGTCGGTTATCAAATAGAAACCCAAGAACACATTAAACAGAACTCACAGCATTATTGTGTTCTACATCCTTAGAAAAAGAAAAAAGAGGCAAGAAAACCCACTACCACCATTTCTCCCCAGCAGGAATTCTGAGGTTCCTTCTTCCCACCAGGTGTTTGTACAGTGTTACACAAATCTGATGTTCTTTTGAGTGATTTGGGGAGAATCTCCACACCACTTTGATCACCAAAAATATCCTCAGGGACAAGAGGGAAATGAGTAAGGATAAGTCAAGTGGTAAATTCTAACCAGGGCCCCTACATAAATATTCAAGCTAAAACTGAATGAAGTTTATTTAAATAAAGATCCAGAGAAACGGCAGATGGCAGACTGAAAGAGGTAGTTTTCAGGAGAGAAAGGCCAAGCCTATGAGAGGAAATAATTGTAGTAGAGCAGAATCCCAGTGGGCCTTTGGTATTCAACTGGTCTTCTTCCAAGCATTTCACCCTCTTCCAATTTTCCAGTGTTTCATTAGACTGTCCTGGTTTGAAGATTATTAAGTAAATCCAACACAGCCACTGAATTGAAGGAAGGGTGAAGGACCAAGCATGCTATTATCACTCCAAGTTCAGGGTTTAATAGTGAAACTCATTAACCTCCAAAGATAGAATTAAATCCCAGGCTACACATCACCAGATATTACCACTATCAGCTCTCTTGTGACTGCCTTAGACATTGAATGTTAGAGTCAGATGGGGTTTAGAGAACAACTGAGTCTTATTTTTAACAAAAGAAGTTGAAGGGATCTGTTCAGATACACAAAATTAAGATGAAGTTCTGGTCTTATGAGTAAAAAAAGTAAGGAACAGTGGTGCGGAGAACAGGCTGTAATTTGTCTTAAATGGGTGTGCATATTCAGAGAATATCTCTGGGAAAATATGAAGGAAAATGGGAAATGTTGTTACTTCAAAGGGAAAGGATTTTAGATACTAAAGAACAGAAGTGAGAGGAAAATTTACTCCCCCCCCCATATCCTTTGCTACTCATTAATAGTTTACACATCTGTCACTCCTACAAAGAAGTGTAAGCTCCTTGAGGGCAGGGCCTATTGACCATATTATAGTCATCTTTGTAATCCCTGGGTGGGTCTCTCATTGTGTCTCATAAATACTCAATAAACTACTGTTGAGTACTTACAACAGATGTTCTTTTTCCATTTAAGATAAAGTTGACTATTGAGTATAAATCAATATTAATTTTGTGGCTCTTTCCAAATGGTTTATAACAATTAATCATTCATATAAGGACATAAAATAACAGCTTTCTATCTTCTCCCATTTAGAGTACACTTGAAACAAATAGTTCTCGAAGACTACTCTGACTTATGAAATAGAGAAAGTTGTATAAATCATTTTGCTGACAGATGTTTCTTCATTTTCACCCCAAAGGGGAAAAAATGATTAGTTAGTATATTTAGAAAAATTGAAATGCAGTGAATTTCATGGTGGAGATTTTTACTAAATATTTTCTTAGGTGCTTTTTATTAACCAATTCTTCTGTAGCCTGTTCATACTCTTGGCATTACTCTTGAATACGATGTTGCAAAGTCAACCCACATTTTCTAAGAAGTGGAAAACTATGATCCAGAATTAAGTAAGGCAGAAGCAAAGAAAACAAACTCTTAGGAGAATGGAACTTAAATTATTTACTCAGTTAGTTACTGTATTAAATTATTTACTCAAGTTTACTCAGTTTTCCAGAAGACATTTACATTAAAAATTGTGAGAAACTTGCCACTTCTTTCTCCATCCCCCCAATTCCCCCCTCCCCCCACCCCGCCACGTCCCATCTCTCAGCATTATGATGACACTCCATTTAGGATTCAGATTTTCGTTAAGTCCCTCTATAAGATGTGGGAGCAAAGCCTTATGTGTAGTTTTAGGACCTCCGGGTAACTGAGCAGACGTCAATGTGTACCACACTTGCCCTCTAGCGGGAATTTGTGAAAACTGCAGTTCCCTGGGATGTTGGTTCTTCAACCCTGCGCGTTTCCAAACACCCATCTCGAGCTGTTTTTTATAAACAGATAAACCTCATTTATACTTATTCTACTAATTACAAATTTGCAAAGGGTGCTATTAAAAGGCTTAAAAACAGCTTATTCTTTCGAGTAAATATCTCTATCTTATTTACACAACAAATTTGCTTTGTAAACTCCTTTCTTCATAATAGTACAAAGATAAACTTTAATGATCTCCAGGTCCAATTAACCTAATTCTGAACAAATGACTTCATAGTACATAATTAGAAGAAAGAAATGGTATCCCTGTATGTACATAATTATGATGGTGATTTTTTTTTTAATGACATTTTGGGGCTGTCACATGAAGTACCTTCTTTCCAATTCAGAAGATATCTTCGGTTTTTATTGTTGTTCTTGTTTGCTCTTTAACCTTTATACGTTTATGACCACACCAAAGCAGCCAAAGGACATCTGACATATGAAAAACTACTGCCCCTGGCATAAAGCCTATAAATTATTAACTGTTTCCATTTACAATAGAATATAGAATTTCAGCACTTACTAACAAAGTTATGACTTGCCACTAAGTTTGCTTCATTTTGGAGAATCTATTCTATCTGTTAGGATTAAGTTCAGTGAAAATGTATGGCACCCAAAATAACAATGGCTTAAAGAAGGTAAATCTTTCTCTCTTGCGTAAACAAATTCCAAACTTAAGGATGAATATCAATATATGGCGCCTCCAAGTTCAACCAAGGCTCAGGTTTCTTCTAGCTTATTGCTCTACCATCCTCAATGCACAGCTTTCACTCCATGGTTCATGGTGTCTGGCCTGTTTCTGGGTAATATATATCCACATTCCAGCCAGTGGGAAGAAGCAAAAGGAAGAACATGCTCACTCCCCTTAAGGAGCATTCTTGGAAGTTGCACCCATTACAACTACACGCAACAGACCAGAACTTTGTCACGTGGCCACTTCTAAATGAAATGCCGTCATTCTAGCCTTGCTCTATTCCAGCTGAAAGTCAGGGGTGCCAATACTATGGAAGAGGGCAGAGCTCATGTTCAGGGACAACCAGCAGTCCTCCCATAGCTTACAATCCCACCAGCTGCCTTCATTTGATAGATCCTACACTTTCCTGGGTTTTGTCTGTTTGTTTTCTATTGAAAGGTGACACCTTCCCTTCCATTTGTCTTCTACTCATGAAGTTCTGCTAATAAAGACCATGATTCCTTTTCTTTTTTTCTCCCTTCTTTCCCTAAGTAAACTCCGGTCACCTGGCCTGCTGATTTTCACCATGTTGGTGCGTACCTTCCTCCACAGGTGATGGCTGGTCCACCTGCCCTTCTGCAGCTGCTGGGAGTACTGCTTACCATTTCCCTGGGTTCCGTCCGGCTCATCCAAGCTGGTGCCTACTATGGCATCAAGCCGCTGCCACCTCAAATTCCTCCTCAGATTCCACCACAAATTCCGCAATACCAGCCCCTAGGCCAGCAAGTACCTCACATGCCTTTGGGTAAAGATGGCCTTCACATGGGCAAGGAGCTGCCCCACATGCAGTATGGCAAAGAGTATCCACATCTACCCCAATATATGAAGGAAATTCAGCCGGCACCAAGAATGGGCAAGGAAGCAGCACCCAAGAAAGGCAAAGGTAACATACTTCGGTTCTGCTGTAAGACAGCAGCTTTCCAAAACCCTAAACAATACGCTGCGGGTGGGGAGAGCTAAATTTTAGACATGTTTCTTTTAGCATGTGTGACTGACATTCATTAACTGCCTGTGTCCTAAACCCTATCCTTGAAAAGTTCAGGTCTTGAAGAAAGACAAAATTATTGTATGTTGTGCTTTCTTATTTCAACAGCATCAAATGACAAAAAGCATACTTCATAACAAATAAGTTTAGTCCCTTACTCATTATTTCTTTATTCAAACATACAGCAACTAATGAGCATCTCTTTTTGTGTCAGGCTCTAAGCCAAAATGCTAAGGGATATAGCAGTGGAAAAAAAGAAAAAAGAAGTGATGTCAGTCTTCAGAACTAGGAGAGCAATGTTATAAGAACCTGCTGTGTTAAAAAAATCATATGAAAGCACTTTGTAAACTAGGTGCCAGATAAATGTGTTTTTAAGAGTGCTCTAATTAAGTTGTTACATATGTCAATCAATAAATCTACAGAAGGAGCCCAAAGAGTACAGACTATATACCTACCTAGAGATGATGATACCTGAAAATCTCTCCATTACTTTCTAGGCATATTCATTAGTTATTCAACACCAGCAAAATGCCTATCACTGTGAGAGACATTTTCTTTTTTTAAAATTTTTTTAAGTCTTCTTTTTTTTTTTTTTTGGCCACACCGTGTGGCTTGTGGAATCTTAGCTCCCCGACCAGGGATTGAACCCGGACCCTTGGCAGTGAGAACACAGAGTTTTAACCACTGGGCCACCAGGGAATTCCCGAGAGACATTTTCTTATAAACTCAGTTGGTTTATAAGAAACGTAGGAAACCTAGCACTTGCAGGAAAGGAATTGCAATCAGAGTAGCAATTCCCTTTGAGGCGGTGGAGGCCATTCCCACTGGTCCCTGCAAAAGCAGGAAGCTCTGCTTCTGGGGAACTACTGGATTTGGTACTAATAGGCCTGAGTGCCTAGAGGCCAGAAAGGAGAGAAACCTAGTCATTTAACCTCTTTGAAACTACTTTTCTTCATTTGTAAAGTAGGATTATTGAGAGAGTCTATGACATAAGGTAAGTACTAAATAAATGCTAAAGTACCATAAAAACTTTGAGTTGCTGCAGTTGGTCATCCAACAAAACCTAAGGAAGAACAGAATATACTCCAGGCACCTGCTAGACATTAGGGATTCCTGATGAATGTGATGTGACCCTGCCCCAGATGCTCTCTTGACAAAGGAGCTACACAGTTCCTGCTTAGCAAGAGCACACCCTAATTGTACAGTAGTAATCCTATTAGCATAAAAGAAGTATTTCCAGTTTTCTTCCCTTTAGGAGCTGATATTCCACTTAGGGGATTATCTCAGTCGTTTGTTTTCCTTCCTTTCTTGAATGGCCTGCCTGGATTTTGAAACTTCCTGTACTTATTCAGATGGGTACCAGATTGCAACTGAGGAATTTGGAAAATACATGAGTTCTGTGGTTCTATTTTGTTCCCTGACAGTAGCTCAGTGAAAAATACAATGGTCAGGATTAAGATGCAACTAATGGTTAATATACGACTTTGGGACCATCAATTTCATTTTTTTATGTTATTCCTTACTCTCAGTAGCATGAGAGGTCCAGAGTTGTGTTTCTCTGCAAGGTATAGCATAATCAATATAATTACATGTGCTTTGTATTTCGATAACAATTCGAGAAAGCATAACGCCTTTCACATCTATTTTCTAATCTTGTAGTGTGGGTGTATTATTCTTGCTGTACAGACAGGCAAGCAGGGATGCTGATGGCTTAAGTGACCCAGTCAAGATCTCATTTCAAGGCCAGAAAGAGAAGCTGAGCTTCCTGCTAATCCCAGTTTAACTCCTTTTCCGCACTGTTTATCATCCTAAAATACCTTATTCACTACTCCTGTTTAAAAACCAAATTTGCAAGTGAGAAGTAACTTATTAAATTGAAGAATTAATATTTGAGGCTTAGGAAATCCTACAGCATATTAAAGAAATTAAACACATCGATTTGACTTTAGAGGACAGATTTTAAGATGTTATTAAACCACATACAAAATAAAAATAAAATGCTTCTATTCTTCCCTGAGTCTACATGATAATGACGGTCATCCCCTACATCATAGTATATTTCAGCACAAGAGGAAATATTATTTTTCCATATATTATATTTAAAATTCAGGGACAAAGAAAAATAGAGTATAACATTAAATAGGGAAAAAATAAAAATGACTCCAACATTGTTTGAAATACACACACACATTAACACACACACACATATATATATACATACATATGTACATATATATAGAACACATGAGATGGAAATACAGATAAATGTCAAGCGATTATCTCTGAGTAGTGGGCTTATAGGCAACTTTGATTTTTCTTTGTCCTTCTTTGAACTCTTTATAGTGAATACACCATAATGTCTCCAAGTTTGTACTAGGAAGAATGTTTCTTCATTACTTTTTAGCTGTTTTACTTAACTAATGCTGATAAAAGCAGCCACAGATATCAGTTCCCAGAACAGTATCTCAAATATGACAAAGAAATTATCAGCCTGATTGTCCATTAAGTACTGATAATACAGTCCTGGAACACGAGCACATTATTCCTAGTCTTTCCTCTTGATAAGTAATAGGCAAATGTGTCAGAAGTAAATAATGATCAAAGTGAGGGATGATCAATATTAATCTCTCTCTCTCTCTCTCTCTCTCTCTCTCTCTCTCTCTCACTCTCTCACTCTCCCTCCCTCCCTCCCTCCCTCCTTCTCTCTCTCTCCCCCCTCTCCCAGCAGAAATACCATTAGCCAGTTTACGGGGGGAGCAAGGTCCCCGTGGAGAGCCTGGCCCAAGAGGACCACCTGGGCCCCCTGGCTTACCAGGTCAAGGGATACCTGGAATCAAAGGAAAACCAGGGCCACAGGGATATCCAGGAATTGGAAAGCCAGGTATGCCTGGAATGCCAGGAAAGCCAGGAGCCATGGGAATGCCCGGGGCCAAAGGTGAAATTGGACCCAAAGGGGAGATCGGACCCATGGGGATCCCAGGACCCCAAGGACCTCCAGGGCCTCACGGACTTCCTGGCATTGGGAAGCCAGGTGGGCCAGGGTTACCAGGGCAACCAGGTGCCAAAGGTGAGCGAGGACCCAAAGGACCACCAGGACCTCCAGGCCTTCAGGGTCCTAAAGGAGAGAAGGGCTTCGGGATGCCAGGTCTGCCAGGCCTGAAGGGTCCTCCAGGGATGCATGGCCCTCCCGGCCCTGTCGGACTTCCAGGAGTGGGCAAACCAGGAGTGACAGGCTTCCCTGGGCCCCAGGGCCCCCTGGGAAAGCCAGGCCCTCCAGGCGAACCTGGGCCACAAGGCCCTATAGGGGTCCCAGGGTTTCAAGGACCTCCTGGGATGCCTGGAATTGGAAAACCAGGCCAGGATGGGATCCCTGGGCAGCCAGGATTTCCAGGTGGCAAAGGGGAACAAGGACTGCCAGGACTGCCAGGACCCCCAGGCCCTCCAGGGATCGGGAAACCCGGCTTCCCAGGCCCCAAAGGCGACAGGGGCATAGCGGGTCTTCCTGGGGCTCTGGGACCAAGAGGGGAGAGAGGACCAGCAGGTGCCCCTGGATTGGGGGGCCCACCAGGAGAGCCAGGCCTGCCTGGAATCCCAGGTCCCATGGGCCCTCCAGGGGCTATCGGTTTCCCTGGACCCAAAGGAGAAGGTGGGGCTGTGGGACCACAGGGGCCACTAGGTCCCAAGGGTGAGCCAGGGCTTCAAGGCTTCCCAGGAAAGCCAGGTTTCCTTGGTGAAGCTGGGCCCCCCGGCATGAGGGGTTTGCCAGGTCCCATAGGGCCCAAGGGGGAAGCTGGGTATAAAGGTTTGCCAGGGCTCCCTGGTGCCCCAGGGCTGCTTGGACAGAAGGGAGAGCCAGGAATCCCAGGGGAACAGGGCTTACAGGGCCCCCCAGGTATCCCAGGGATTGCAGGCCCGAGTGGCCCCATTGGACCGCCTGGAATTCCTGGCCCCAAAGGGGAACCGGGTCTCCCAGGGCCACCTGGGTTCCCTGGAGTAGGGAAGCCCGGAGTAGCAGGACTTCATGGCGCCCCAGGGAAGCCTGGTGCTCTTGGTCCCCAAGGCCAGCCTGGCCTTCCAGGGCCCCCAGGCCCTCCAGGGCCCCCGGGACTCCCAGCTGTGATGCCCCCGACACCACCACCCCATGGAGAGTATCTACCCGATATGGGGCTGGGAATTGACGGAGTGAAACCCCCCCACGCCTATGGGGCTAAGAAAGGCAAGAACGGAGGGCCAGCCTACGAGATGCCTGCATTTACCGCTGAGCTGACTGCGCCTTTCCCACCTGTGGGGGCCCCAGTGAAGTTTGACAAACTGCTCTATAACGGCAGACAGAACTACAACCCGCAGACGGGCATCTTCACCTGTGAGGTCCCTGGGGTCTACTACTTTGCATACCACGTTCACTGCAAGGGGGGCAACGTGTGGGTTGCTCTGTTCAAGAACAACGAGCCCATGATGTACACGTATGACGAGTACAAGAAGGGCTTCCTGGACCAGGCGTCCGGGAGCGCGGTGCTGCTGCTCCGGCCTGGAGACCGGGTGTTTCTCCAGATGCCCTCTGAACAGGCTGCGGGACTGTATGCCGGGCAGTATGTCCATTCCTCTTTTTCAGGGTATTTATTGTATCCCATGTAAGAAAGAAAAACAGAGAGAAATTTAATAGAAGAAAAGAAAAGGATGCACCAAAAAATCCAAATGGGAAACATAATTGCTTCAAAACATTTATATAGTTGGAAAGTTATATTTAAGTGAAAGTCTGAACCATCGTGTACAAATAAAAACTAAGATGCATGTTTAGTGCTCTGCACAGCAGCTTGTGATTGAAAATGATGGGATAGATTTATGTATCAAGTACTGACACTTGTGTTGTACCCACTGGAATCGTATTAGCTGTTTATGTTATGTGCTTCCATGATAACCTGCTTATTCAGATCAAAGTATTTCAGTATGAAAGAGCATAGCTAATGAAAGTCACTCGCTCATACTGTTTACTTTAAAATATTTATAAATATGGCTTAAAGAAATGTCAATGATAACAATTACATACCGTATTTACTTGCATAATTTCCTCTGTATTTGTGCAGATACTTTGCCATGGGATGTGGGAGAGCTCTGCAGTGCTTTTCCCCAGTGAGGCGTGGACAGAGAACCAGGGTAGAGCTTTACTCCAAGGGATGTTTCTCCCCTGTCGGAGGCTGTGTCTTTCACAACAAGAGTTCTACTCAGAATTGTGTGTCTAGTGTCCCTAGAAGAACAACTGTAGTGTATTTACCCGTGCCTTCTGTGTGCCTAGCACTGGATGAGACACTTCTGTGGGGCCTAAGACAGTGCCCCGTAGGGAGCTAACAAACCAGCTGGGAGACATGAGTAGGAAGTAACTCATTTATTCCTCACGGGTTCTTTTTGCTTGTTTTTTTTTTTTTCCTGTGATTTTTTTTTTTCTTTCTTGTTGTCTCCATGTAATTTCCATTATGACCCAACTAATATAAACACCTGGAAGTCATAAGAAAAAAAGTAACCCTCTCCCCTCATAACTTTCCAGTTTTGCGGAATGTTCATTATAAATAGCAGTTATTAATTGTTTACATGCGTATAATAATCCCCCTCCTTCGCCTACACACACAAATGACTACAACGAGGTTTCACCCACAAAGGGGATATCAGTACTTTTTAGTAGCTACTGAATTTCAAAGAAATTTCCCTGTGTAGTACACATACAAATCGGTGTGTCATCTGAAGTTCCAAAGTGAATTTCCTAAATCCAAGCCATCCTTTGATTGGGGAAAGAGGGGGGGAGTTTCAGAATTACATAGGAAAATAAATTGTTTTGAAAAAATAATTTCTGAAGTTTTAAATTAAAAAATAGATGTATTACTTCCTGCTGTAGGTACTAAAAATGCAGGAAGCAACCTGTGGAAGAGCCACCTGGAATGTCAGAGGGCAATGACAGCCCATGCTTTTTATGTCACCCCACAAGTACAGGAGTCAATACAAATTTAAAGAGAAAAGTAAATTTTTTTCCAGGTTTTCATTTAGGTACATACTAATTGCTTTGCACATTCAAATCTGGTCTCGAAACACAGACAAAGCATTTCAAGTTGGCTATGAGTCTGCTGCTGACACTATAAGCCACTGGGGGGAATAATGTGGGGCTATGGTGGTGGAGTCTTGTATCTACTCCTCAGAGTTAAGAGTGTTGAAATGAGGGGATAGGTACAGATGGGAAGATACACAAATAAATACGGTATAAACACACATGGAATCGTGTCTATGTCAAATCTGAATCATTTTAACCATCAAGAATATTCTCCTCAGCCTAATATCTGTCTTTTCCCTATATGGTATACAAGCACCATTTCTTCTCAATTTCTTAAAAAGAGAAATGAGTTCATTACCACGTGGTTTCTTACTCACGGCTAATTATATGACAAACTTTTCCCATCAAAAACATATCCCACCCAACCTTCATTTTCAAAGCAGACAGCATTTATGTGGCCAAATATCCTTTGGGTTGGTCTTGAGGATGCTGGTTTTGGGCCGATGGCTATGAGAGCCACATGGATCCACTGGGCTCTGTCTGCTGAAAAGCTGCATTGAAATGGCTTGGAGGCAAGTCAGATCAGCTGATTTATAAAACTGTATTTATCTGTACATGTATGGGCTTTTTATTTCCACCAAGAGAGAAAGTAGCTCTTTGGTCAAAACCAAATTTCACTTTTCAAATACCTTCCAACTTATTTATTGGTTGTTACTCAATTGCATGTGTGTGTGCGTGTGTGTGCGCGTGCATGCGTGCATGTGTGTATTATCAGGCATATGCTTCTAACTTTTAGATAGGGGAGAAGAAAAATCTATGCCAGATACTGTATATTCTACAATGGTGCTAATCTCAGAGATAAATGAATTACTCCATTAAATTTAAAAAGAGTTTTAAATAATTATCTATGTATCTTTGTTTCCCTTTTGAATGTTGCACATCATGTTAACACATTTAGTGTAAAAGCAGATGAAACAACCACATGTTCTAAAGTCTAGGGATAGTGCTACAATCCGTATTTAATTCAAAACTAACTAGAACTTTTCCACGTGAAATGGACCAAACTGACAATATTGTTATTTAAATACAGAGTTTTAATGCAGGATGACATCCCACAGGGGAAAAGAATGTCTGTAGTGGGTGACTGTTCTCAAATATTTTACAGAATACCATGAATGGTGAACAGACTGGTAACTTTGAGTTTCCATGATAGATTTGAGACATGTCAATAGCAAATCATTTTTGTATTTAAATTTTTGTACTGATTTGAAAAAAAAGTCTTATTAAATACCTTTAAAAGTATGTTTCTCATCTTGTTCATATCACTCAGCTGACACTGTTTGAACTTCGTAACTGTTTATCTCCCAATGTGTTAATTAGCTGCTGACACAGAGACCTAACATAATCCTAGCTTAATGGGGAAAATTCTTTCTCTTTGACATAACAGCTGCAAGCATAAGCAGGCTGGGGCTCATGTGGCAGCCCCAGTCAGGGCCCCAGGTTCCTTCTATCTTGTTGCTCTTCCACCGAGAGGGCGTGGCCCGCATCTCCAGGGTCCAGGAGAGCTAACCACCACAGGCACATTCCAGTCAGTGGGAAGGAAGAAAAATCAGGAAGGGGAGAGCATGCTTCCTTCTTAAAGAACTCAACCTAGTGGTTGCTTAGATCACCCACCCACATACCATGCTCTGAATTTAGTCACACTGGCACAACCAGCTGCAAGGGAGTGTGGGAAATGGAATATTTACTGCAGGCAAGCACATGTCCAGCTAAAAATCAGAGGTTCTATTAATACAGAAGGAGAACAGATATTAGGGAACAATTAGCTGCTGCATCTGTCACATCCAACCTAAAAGGATAAACTGCCACAAATCTCTTTTCTCCCACAAAAAAACTAATCTTCATGTACTCAATTCTGTTACAGTTTGCCACACCAGAGCCAAAATTTTTGAGGGGAGATAGTGATGAGTGGAGCTTCAGAGCAGAAACAGACCTGTTTCAACAACCTAAGGGTCTTAATAAGCATCACTGATAAGGAAAGAATTCTTTTGTGATGACTTATCAAGCTCAGAATGATCACAGTTTATCACGTCTAGACTATCATAAAGGGATTACTCAAATCATTCAACAAGCAACTATGTAGCACCAGTCTGTGGCTGGTTAACTCACTTGTTTAAATGCATCAATCTGGAAATTCAAGGCCATAGCTTCCATTCCCACATAGCCCAACTAGTTCTATTTCATTCCACAGCCAAAGGCTCTTCCATAACATGGACCAGTCATCTCATGTGCACACAGTGTTGGTCACAAAAGTAAATGGAAGGATAGATACAAGTGACAGAGGCAAGGAGGAATAATAAATGGTTGGAATTTAGAATGCCGGACAAGCAAGGCAAATCCATCATTACAATAGGTCTATAGTATCCCTTTACATTAAAACAAAACAAAAAGTAGCCCCTACTTTGCACCTGATATTACTAGGCAATGTGAGGGGCACATAAGCAATAGAAAACATGACCATTCTTTTTAAAAGTATCTTTTGTTTAGAGGACATCAAGATGTTTGTTAAACAAGTTGACTTCCAGGTGATATACAAACAAGGGTGGCATGAAGCCAACTGGATGCATATGTGCTAGCAAAGTTCAGAAAGAGAAAGGACATTCTATGCTGCTCCCTTCCTGGGAATGCCTTCTCTGACCTACCTGCTCGATAATCCCTCCTCACCCCTCAGGACACAGCACAAGCATCACCTCTCCTTCCCTACTGCTCAGATTTAGTCACTACCCTGCCTTGTACAATATTCTGTCCCTTTACTTTTCCTGCTTTATAACTGAACTGTTTGTCTGTCTCCCCTATTGATAGAGTGTAAGCCTCTTGAGAGCAGGCACCTGTTTCATCTTTGCATCCACAGCTCATCACAGAGCGCTGGTCCAGCTCCAGGGTGGAGGGAAGAATGAATCTCGCAGGGTTGCTGTGGGAGCTAGTGCTAAACTCGATGTGAGGTGTGACTGAATCCAGCTCTGGGATTCCAAGATTATACAGAAGATTATATGTCCCAAGATTATTTAGAAGTCTACTGTGGGATAAAAGCTAATCTCAGGTAGTTTTTTGGAGAAGACGACTTTTAAAGAAATCATCTTTAATTTGACAGAATTTGGATGAATGGAGCATAGGGCAGTGTGTGTGTGTGTGTGTGTGTGTGTGTGTGTGTGTGTGTGTGTGTGTATAAGAGAGAGAGAGAGAGTCAGAAGGGGTGGCGGGGGTGGAGTGGGGTGGGCAGAGATAAGGGAAATGACCTGACTGGTTCAGAAGAACTACTCAAAAACTAGTAAAGGAAACATTTAATAACCAAAGAAGGATCAAGTGACGTAGGGCTTTACATACAGGGAAGATACATTTATATTTTATCTAATATGCAATAAGAAGACATTGTAGGTCCTTAAACAGGAAAATGGTATGAACATAAGTATTTTAGAAAAGTTACTTTGATGATTCTCTGGAGAATGTATGATACAAGTAGCAAAACCAATGAGGAGATCAGAACAGCTTTAATCCAGGAATGGGGTGATGGGTTGATGGTTCAGGGAGCCTAACCAAGTCTAAAGAGTGAAAGTCACATGTCAGGTCAGGTGTTAGGGTTTAAGGACTGCATAACAATGGAGCTATCTCAAGGGCTAGGAAACGGAATGAAGAACTGAAAACTGAAGAGACAGTTGAAAGATAACTGACCCTGGAGACAATCCCAGGATGCCCTTATGAGGGAGAAGGAAGCTTGACTTGAAGGCGGTTTCCTCACTGATACTCTTGGAAAACAGGGTCGGTGCCACTGATAGAAATAGGCAGTCCTCCAGTGGAGCCTGCTCCAGGCAGGGAAAGAAGAGACGCTTGGTTTATACATAGACTTGTGGGATCTGCCTGTGCACCAGACGCGCATTTGCTAGGCAGATGAGGGTAAAGCCATGAGCCTGGAAAGAGACCTGGTGGCCTATTGTAATAAGAAGGAGAGGAAAGGCACTCAAAGTCAGTGGCACCATTTGCAGACAAAAATGATTAGAGTGCTTTAAAATCTCCTCCCTTACTTGCTCCAGGAATTTATTTAACAGATCCTTTCATCACAGATATAGCAAAGGGAAATGGCATCCCAATCCACATGGAATTACAGTGAACTCCAAATACGCAGAGCCAATAAAAAGTGTAAATCAATCATGTTTTCCTATATTTCAAAAAAGTTTTTCTCCTTAATGGTCCTTGTGACTCTAAAATGAAAATATCATGCTCATTCCATATCATGAAAAAGAAAAATATCTATGGAGTAGCCTTAGGGTTATCTTTCTTCTAGCAAAGAGTTACACAGAATTTCTGATGCTTTCATTTTCAAAACCAATATTTGTATCAGGATCAACTTTATGCTCAAATATGTTATTCTTTATGATGTCAAATAGATGTTAATGATTTTTATTATTAGAAAAATATTTTTTGCTAATTCCTGGAGATAAGTGCATTGGACTTTCAATTTAAAAAGTGGGGCACATCATCCCATTTTAACAAATTATTCAGAAGTTTCTCATGTGTGTTACTGAAACACAGAACCATATAACTGAATTTTCCTTTGAGGCATCCAGAACCTTTCTAGAGGTTTTTTTCCTTTGCTATCTTAATGCAAGTAAAAATAGATTTTTATTAGATTCAAAAGCACTTCTAAATTAAAGTTTATGATTCCTGTGGAGACCTACAATTCACATGCTTTGTTAAAACCACCAAGACCTAAAAATTAATTTTATAATGAGCATGGCCAAGTCAGTTCTCATCTAACAAGTGAGTGGCTGGCAGCAACATTCACATCTGCTCTTCATTTGTGGGTGACAGACACAATGGGGAAAGCTGATGGAACGCTTCCCAGGTTCCAACTGCCTACTAGTAAGAGCTGCCTTTCCTCACCAAGGCCAATGCTGTCCTTGTCATTTGTTCTGCCAAACCAGAGTCATCAATATAGAACATGTTAGGAGAGGGTTCTGAGGCCAGGCTCAGAGAACCAATCTCAGCTCCTCTATTTAACAGCTGTGATATCTTGAATCAATTATTTAACGTCTCTAAACTTCAGCTTTTGCACCTGTAAAACAGTAGGTGATAATAGTAACTATCTTCTACATTTGGGAGGGTGGGTGAAGTTGTAGAGTGTGTTATGGAGGGGCAACAACTGCTACTATTTACTGAGTGACAACCATGTACCAAAATGCTTTAACTGTTTTTATGTATTAACTTAGTTACTCCTTATAATGACTCTTATTATTAGCTCCATATTACAGCTGAGGCAAAGTAACTTGTCCAAGATCTAATAATGACAATGCCAAAATTTTAACCCACACATCTGGCTCCACAGTCCATGCTCTGAGCTATTACACCATACTGCCTAAAGGCAGGAGATAAAAGTTCTCGGCTGCCTGAGGAGCAAACAACTGCCAGTGAAGGTTTAGAATAGTAGCTTGCCTCAAAAGAGAGAGAGATGACCTCAGTTATTTCTTAGTTACTGTCCTTACCAGAGACAAGGAAACAGCCAGCTATCAAAAGACTATATACTGACAGATGTCATGGTGACATCCTTACCCCTTAGGAGATATGAAGGCAGTTGGCTTTAAAAACTGAAGGGACGGGCTTCCCTGGTGGCGCAGTGGTTGGGAATCCGCCTGCCAATGCGGGGGACACGGGTTCGGGCCCTGGTCTGGGAAGATCCCACATGCTGCGGAGCAGCTGAGCCCGTACGCCACAACTGCTGAGCCTGTGCTCTAGAGCCCGTGTGCCGCAGCTACTGAGGCCCGTGTGCCTAGAGCCCGTGCTCCGCAGCAGGAGGGGCCATCGTGATGGGAGGCCCGTGCACTGCAGCGAAGGGTGGCCCCCGCTCGCCGCAACTGGAGAAAGCCCATGCACAGCAACAAAAGACCCAATGCAGCCTAAATAAATAAATAATAAAATAAATAAATTTATAAAAAAAAAACTGAAGGGACCACCTCACACCTATTAGGATGGCTACTATGAAACAACACAGAACAGTACAATACAAAACACAACAAGTGTTGGTGAGGATATGGAGAAACTGGAACCCTTGTGCACTGCTGGTGGGAAAGTAAAATTGGGCAGCAGCTATGGAAAACAGTATGGAGGCTCCTCGAAAAATGAAAACTAAAATTACTGTGTGACCCAACATTTCCAGTTCTGAGTATATACCCAAAAGAACTGAGAGCAGGGATGCAAACAGTTATTTGTACAT